CTAGTTCCGTGTTTCCATCGAGTTATAGAAACACGATTTTTAACCAATCAGCACGCGTATTTTCTTAGTACTGTTTTCTAATTAATATTAGTACTCTTAAGGAATGGTTGTGTTACTGCGAAGACATCCGAGCCATGCACACGTGACAGTATTTATAACTTTTTTCGGTGACTATTGAATGAGGGCTCGTCATGTTAACAAACGTATTCATTGTGTTTTATACTGTAAAATCGCCAATCTTGTACATTATACGGAGAGTCCTCATTCTTTAGTCACCAAAAATGTTCATAATTAGAGAGTGTGCTTACTCCAGTTGTAAATTAACGCAATGACGTGATGCTTTGCATAACTACAACATGTTGCAATCAAGTGGTAATTCTATTTGTCAGATGTTAGGCGTTAAGGCCAAACCTCAGAAGCTTACCTTTAATTTCTGTGGTTAACTGACCCAACCCGTTTACAAAAAAGTAATTGCAAGGGTACCTTAATGCAAATGGAACTTCAGCTTTACCTTAAGACTTCCTAAACTTGCAGCATAATGCAGTGGGGTTCGTAAATCCTTGTCTGTCTCATTTATTAATTGTCCTTGTTCCCGATTGAGGAGCATGCGCAAAGTTTCCAACCGCTCGTGCATCACTGCAAGGTGTATACAAGTCCTACGAGAAGCGTCACGTGACTTCATTTCAGCTCCAGACTCCAGGAGCAGCTCAGCAGTTTTCGTCCTGCCTCGTTTCACTGCCAAATTGAACGCAGTACGATTCTCGTTGTCCTTGGCTTCGATGTCCGCTCCATTATTTAGCAAATATTTCACTGTATCTACACGGTCGAACTCCGCGGCTCTGAAGATGAAAAATAATTGATTTGTTTCTGATAAATTCACTTGACTAAACTGCAAGTTTGATGAATAAGCAGGTTCTCCTAGACCACAGTAGTCGTTCTTGTCCTTCTTCGTGTGAGGAACAAAACCAAAAAACCAAAAAAACAAACAAAAAAAAGAGTCGGAAGAAAGTTGGGGAAAAAAGGTGCGAGCGGCTTGCGCCCCAACAGACATTCCGAAGACAGTAGGGTAGGACCGATTTCGCAATAGACTGGAATTGAACTTCAACAGAGTCGACGTTAAAAGTCTTATTTAAAGTCACTTGACCATCTTTAGGAGAGTTCCCGCAGGAACGAGAACAAATATATATCTCACAAATATATTAGTAAGATTCTGTCACCTTAGAAGTGGAGTCCTCTGCAGCTCGTCCCTGCAATCAACTGGTGCACCGTGAGACATCAGCAACTCAACCACGTCCACGTGTCCGTAGGCAGCCGCAAGATGCAAGGGCGTGTGTCGGCCACAGTGTGTCTTCCCATCCACCAAGTCAGTTCCCTGGCTCAGCAGAAGCTCTGCAATTTCCTTGTAACCTTTATGACATGCCAAATGGAGGGCGGTGTTTTCTTCAAAATCGGGAGCGTCGATGAAGTATGAGGCATTCTCGAATTCAAGGGATGCTGGAACGACACGAAGAAGCAAAGATACTTTAGTGAAGCTGAGGGAAGAGCTTGATGTGACCTACACTACTACGCGCCTGTACATGGCATCTTATCAGCGTTTCTTATTGGATGTCGGAATTAACAACTATAGAGAGTGCAGAGGAATCTAGAAAATACCCTTCTTGAACCAACCTTCCTTGATTAAAAGCTGTACGACATCTTTGTTTCCGTGCAAGGCAGCCAGATGCAACGGACTTTTCTCTTCCACGGTCCGCGCGCGAATATCTGCTCTGTGCTCCAAGAACAATTCGCACAGCTCGAGACTGCCGTGCGCGCAAGCCAAATGGAACGGTGTCATACCACTGTTATCTGGACAGTTAACAGATGATAGACTATTACTGAGCATAAGCGTGGACGTTTCTACACAGCCGTGACGAGCTGCGAAATGAAGCGGCGTAGCACCGTCAGCGTCTTTCAAAGACGGGTCTGCGTTGTACTCCATCAGTGTTTTTACAGCCTCAGAACTGTTGTAGCTGAAAGAAGAAAAGTAATGCAGTAAATCAATGTTATCAACGAAACCTCGATTGGGAATCAGTTGCTTTGTCATTTCTTTCGGGTATTACTAAAAACTGGATCATTGGATAATGCAATTCAAAAGTATTCATTGGCTTAACCATCATGTTATATGAGCCATGATACCATGCTCTACAAAAATATGGTAAGCGTATGCGTACATTTTGCGGGGGTTTTTGTTATTATGTTTGTTTTCTATATTTTGAGGCGTTTTAATTATTCCACTCATGCTTGAGATGATTATAGCCATCTCGGCACAACGTGCCTCATTGGCTATCGAGGTACCCACCATCTCATATCCAGCGCGCGCTCGCGGAAAAATTGTTAAATAAATCGTCGATCAGTGAGCAATCAGAAAGTAATTGATATATCGTAGGGCGCAAATTTTTCAGCCATGGATTTGTCATTGATTCCATTAATTAGACACTGATGTCACTGATCATTGATATCGTTGATTACTCATCGGTACAATGTTGTGGTTATAATACGCATCAATAACTTCTACAAGAGAAGAACCGTTCAGGACATGCACTAACATTTACAACAGGAAAGTTAGCGATTTAAAAGAACAGATACTATAAATTCGTACACGTTGTGCAGCATAACAAAAGAAGAACAAAAGAGGAGTAATCGACATGTTTTTAAAAGTTGAAATTAACTAGGAATTTCAATGCGACAGTGAGTGCTTTTGTTGAAAGTAATGGTAACATATGAAGACTAGGTCCCGTTCGTTCTCCGTTCCTTTTCTTTCCCGTTCCAAGTTCCCGATCTTCCGTATTCCTAATCCTACTCCGTTTTCCTCTCCCCTCCTTTCCTGCCCAATCCTTTCTCGTGCCCCGTTCCAAGGTTTTACTAACATCCCTCCACAAATGACAAATAATAAGTGATTCCCCTCCCCCACCCTGTCCCACCCCGTCACCGAAGTGCTTTGACAAACGGTAGACCCCTCAAAAATAGCTTTTGCCGTTCACGGGAAAAAGGAACAAAGGGGATAAGGCTAAGTCATAAGTCATAAGCAAGACTCGAGGAATTAACATATTTTAAAATGAGCTTAGCTTAGTTGTTTCATTTTATTGATTGAATTTTCTGTACGGAGGTCAAACGAGATAATTACGCTTCTTGTTGAAATGTCTGGACTCGTTGCGAAATTAACTTTCTTGAAGGTCAGCATGGAGGTGCTAGAATCTCAACTATCAGTAAAATTTACGGCAATTTCTCAGCTCAGCCCAATTCTCCGCTTCAGTAAAACACACCAGACCCTCTTCCCTGTATGTTTATTATCGCGGAACTGACGGGAATCACTGATTGGTCAGTTCTAACTGAAAGTACACGTGTGCGAAAAGTACATGTTTCAAGTTTCATACGTTTGCGACTAAAGCTGAAAAGAAATATCAAAAATACCAGGCTACATTCGCTTGCAAGTAAAACAGAATAAGGCTCGAAAGTACTGAATACTTTCAAGGCTCGAAAGTATTCTAGTTCACAGTTAGCAGTTATCAAAAATGTACAAGTTCGTGCAATTGTTACTTCGGGTTGCCCTTTCAAGACGAACCCTCGAACAACAGTCCTTTGCTGACGGCGTGTGTTTGTAGCACAGACGAGCGTCTCACAAAGTACGTTTCATATGTAAACTGATTCTCAGATCACTTACTTGATGGCAAATGTATGGTGACTGCAGGTTAGCACCCGTTTTTTGAACGTCAATTTGATTGGTTTTTCATAGAAGCCTTAATCTGATTATTAGTGTGACAGACGTACATCACTCACTGATTCAGTCAGAGACCGATTCAGTAGCTCTCACTAGCTAGCCGATCTCGACATCTAAGCTATTTTTTATTATTTTTATTTATTTATTTTTTTTTTTTGGAAAACAACAGCTTAAAAATTGAAGAACTAGCGTAAATGAGTGATGAAAAAAAAATTTTTTTTTGGAAAACCTGCATTGTGTTAGTAATGGACAAAAGTTGAACGCAGGCAATTTCATTGCTCTTTACCTTTGATTGTCAATAACAGAAGCATTTTCGTCAAGGCCAGTAAGAATATAATTTGTGGGAAAAGTGATTTTGCAAGACTTCGCTAAAATTTAAAACGCCAAGCGTTAGTTGTATTATTGAACCGCCAAGTGATCAGTTTTCCAGTGTCAACCATTTGCCAGCTCAAAACAAATGTTTTACTGTGTTGTCGATATCTCGGCGAGAGTTGACAATGAACCTTTTGCGTATAAAAACAAACATCATTCCTATTAGCATTTGCTTTCATGTTAACCTGTCTAAACAGGTCCGTTGAAAACGAAAATCAATTAGCATTTATCACGGTCAATTGGGTTTATATTAGATGCCAAGGTCGTATTTTGTTTGGCGCTAAAATCATTCTAACAGAGTTTTTGATATGAAATTATCCGATAAGGGTCAAAGGACTTACCGAACGGCAACGTGTAACGGCGTGAGAAGTTGCTGGCCTTGGCAGTTGATATCCGCTTTGTTATCCAAGAGCATAATCACCATTTCATTTTGATTGGAACTAGCAGCGTGATGCAATGCTGTCAGACCACTGCTGTCCACAGTGTTTACATCTTCCATCTGAGAATACTGCCTTACCAATGCTACATTGTTCTCACGGATAGCTTGTGGAAGGTTTAGCGCGGAAATGCCACTAGTGTTCAAGTTAGCGAAAGGCGAGTGGAGCTCGAAGGTTTCGAAACCGAACTCTCGATTCACCGATATTCCTGGACTGCCTTGTGATGACCGACGATGCTGTTGCTCGAGAAGCAACTGACTGTCGTTGTGGTCGATGCCGTTTTCCTTTCTCTGTAGTTTTGCCATCGTGGACGCCGCCAGAAGAAAGAAAAACTATTCGCCCGATTATAGAACAGCGAGCGCGTTACAGTGTCAACGTATGATCCAGGCAGACAGGTACATGACGTGTATCTGGCTACGAAAGGATTTGCACATAATATGCATAACAATGACTGCGGTGTGTGTGAACGTTCAATATATTAATATGAAAACTCTTACTGATAAACGTAAGAGATGTACATGTAATAGGCCACGTTCAATATATCAATACTCCGAGGATTTCCGGTCAAAATTGTAAATTTTCAAGTTCCTTTTGTCTCTAAATTCCCAAAAGAGACTTGGCTATAAAGAAAACACCACCGAACATAGAAGTTTGTCCTGAAAGCCTCGGAGCCATGTTAGAATATTGATATATCGAACGTGGCCTACTTGGAGCGTTCCCTGTGGTGCAACCGGGCGTGTCACAAAATCCTCGAGATCTGTTTAGTGTACAGTCAAACCTCCGGTTGCGACCACCTCTCCTCAGCGACCAGTTTTCCAAAATACCAAAAGTTTCCAAGTCAAATGACTATATTTGGAACCTCTTGTAAGAGACCACTTCTCGTAAGCGACTGCGACCTCGTTTAGAGCTAAAAGTCTGAAATTTTCTTTTGTTTTTAACCTCCCATAAGCGACCACTTGACAGAATAAGCGGAAATTGGATAATAAGGTGTTGTAACCATATGACATTCCTGGAAGGTACAAGAGACGGAAATTTCTACAGGATTTATTCTCGAAATTGACTTTCCATGAATAAAACATTTAAAACATAGTGTAAGTTTTTGCAGTTACCCAATGCTAATGAGGTAAAATTTTGACACAATATGGTCTAAGCTCTGGTAAGCGACCACCTCCCGTAAGCGTTTATACGGGAGGTTCGCCTATAGTGTATACCCCGGGAGTGTATACTGTATCGCGCTCGCTTTACTCGCTTTTTCTTTCGCGTGCGTAAATAGAGAGGCTGTGAACAGTCTAANGTCGATGCCGTTTTCCTTTCTCTGTAGTTTTGCCATCGTGGACGCCGCCAGAAGAAAGAAAAACTATTCGCCCGATTATAGAACAGCGAGCGCGATACAGTGTCAACGTATGATCCAGGCGGACAGGTACATGACGTGTATCTGGCCACAAAGGATTTGCACATAATATGCATAACAATGACTGCGGTGTTTCTGAACGTTCAATAATAGACCAATTTCGATATACTAAAATTCAGCCTAACACAATAGACCTCAGCACGAGGCTCCGGGGAATAAACCCCACAAACTCTGTAGTTATTCCCCAGAACCTCGTACTGGGGTCTATTGTTTTAGGCTGAATTTTAATACATCGAAATTGGTCTATTAATATGAAAACACTCACTGATAAACGTGAGAGATGTACATGTAATAGGCCACGTTCAATATATCAATGTTCTAACATGGCTCCGAAGCTTTCCGGTCAAAATTGTAAATTTTCAAGTTTCTTTTGTCTCTCAATTCCCAAAAGAGACTTGGAAACAAAGAAAACAACACCAATAGACCAATTTCGATATATCAAAATTCAGTCTAAAACAATAGACCTCAATACGAAGCTCTGGGGAATAACTACAGAGTTTGTGGGGTTTATTCCCCAGAGCCTCGTGCTAAGGTCTATTATGTTAGGCTGAATTTTAATATATCGAAATTGGTCAATTATAGAAGTTTGTCCTGAAAGCCTCGGAGCCATGTTAGAATATTGATTTATCGAACGTGGCCTACTTGGAGCGTATCCTGTGGTGCAACCGGGCGTGTCACAAAATCCTCGAGATCTGTTTAGTGTACAGTCAAACCTCCGGTTGCGACCACCTCTCCTCAGCGACCAGTTTTCCAAAATACTAAAAGTTTCCAAGTCAAATCACTATATTTGGAACCTCTTGCAAGAAACCACTTCTCGTTGGCGACTGCGACCTCTTTTAGAGCTAAAAGTCTGAAATTTTCTTTTGTTTTTAACATGCCATAAGCGACCATTTGACAGAATAGACCGGAAATAGGATAATAAGGTGTTGTAACCATATCACATTCCTGGAAGGTACAAGAGACAGGATATTTTCCTCGAAATTGACTTGCCATGAATAAAACATTTCAATGACATTTAAAACCTAGGGTAAGTTTCCGCAGTTACCCAATGCTAATGAGGTAACATTTTGACACAATATGGTCTAAGCTCTGGTAAGCGACCACCTCCCGTAAGCGCTTATACGGGAGGTTCGACTATAGTGTACTGCCGTTTCGCGCTCGCTTCGCTCGCTTTTTCTTTCGCGTGCATAAATAGAGAGGCTGTGAACAGTCCAACTGCGAGTGGTCCCTCTTTCGCTTAGTCCGTCGTGCGTGACGCGAAAGAAAATTGCGCTCTCCTCGCTCCTGCTTTGGGTTTTCTTTCGCGTCACGCACGACGGACAAAGCGAATGAGGAACTTTTTTTTTCTCATGAAGAAAACACTTACAGTACAATAAAACATAGAGTAAAGTAAATTCCATACAAGAAGAAAACTACGGCACTTTTGAGGACTACAATAGATATAGAAATAAATCAATACAAGGCGCTACTGATTAGAAATTTGCAAACCATGACATTTACACAAGGTAAGTAAATTAATTTGTCCTATTGAGACGTTGGTGGTGGCAAAATGTCTGGGTCAAAATCTTTAAATATAAGGCATTTCCATTTCTCATTAAAGAGCTTGGCATTTTTGTTTTTTATTGCAATGCACCTTTCAGTCATTATGTTTTCTCGAAGTTGTTTCTTGAACAGCGAGAAGAGTAAAGATTGCTCATTAGGCTACATTTATAAATGAAGTATTTTGCCACCAACAAAGCCAAACTTAGGGGGTGATGGTGCTTGAGTGGGTTTGTAGGTCCGTATAAAATTGTTGAGTCTGGTAACTGAATGTTTTCACTGGTGACTTGCGACCACCAGTCAAAAAATTCATTCCAAAATAAAGCTACATGGGAGCACTTTAAAAACATGTGCTGGCGGTATGCTGTTCACTTTTACATAGATAGCATATATCATCAGACATCATGATGGCTCTCTTAAGTTTGTCTTTAGTGTAGATGATATTGTGGTTTATCTTGAATTGAAACATTATCTGATTAAATTTGTATTTTCCGTAACAGAAAAAGGCCATTTGTATAATTTTTGGATTTCAGAAGGCCCCACTCCGTAACTAATAATTCGATTTTCATTGGTAGGTGGTTGAAATTTGTTCTCAACAATTATTTTGTGCAGAGTAGCGTTGGAAAGATTTTCTTCATTGTCGTACCAATTCTGTTTCCGTGTTTGCCTCTGTCTACAAGTAGGCGAAATTTTCCATTTATTTTTAATTGCACTGAGAAGGCCATAGTTAACAGTGAAATTAGATTTAACTTTGAAAAGGTTAACAAATTCTTGATACGTCAGGAATTTTCCGCTATTAGGGTTTGAGAGGTGTTTAACTTTTGTAACATCCGCCTTGTGCCATGACTCACAAAATATTGGCTTAGTTGCGATTTTTATTTCATGTTTGTTCCATATTATTGCATCGTATGGATCTGCTTTTTCTTGATCTATTTCAGCTTTGATATTTTTTTTTTTTTATCATTTCCCAAGAATTTAAAATTTCTGAATAGAAACAAGGAATGTTGTTTGAATTGCGTTCTTTGGTTTTATAACTGCATGATCATAAGAACTTAAAACCGCCTAGGTGTCGAGTCATGTATCCACTTCTGTTTAAATCTTCTCACCCATGAAGCTTTGAAGGCTTTATTCATCGACTCAAACTCACTCACTTTTAATCCACCAACATTCTTGTCTCCAATTAATGAAGTTATTTTAATTTTATGTGGCTTGTTATCCCATATAAAATCTAATATGGTTTTATCAACCCTTTTGCTGAAATTTTCAGGTAATGATAAAACTGAAGCATTGTATATTAGTTTAGACAACCCTAGTGACTTGACAATGTTGATTTTCCCAAGCAGAGTCAGTTTCCTCCTTTTCCAGGAGTTTAAGATTTTTTTTTTAAACCTTCGAGTTTCTTATCAAAATTAAGACTTTCACATTTGCCTCTATCTTTGGAGAAGTGGACACCTAAAGCATAAACAGAATTTTCTGGCCAGCGAAACTCAAATGGTGTGTCCTTCCTTGTTGCCCAGCGGCCCAGCCACATGGCGTCTGTTTTTGATTTATTCACTTCTAAGCCTGAGCAGCCTCTAAAATTTTCTAATGCGAAAGAGGAACTACTCGTAGTCGGTCAATAATACTGTTAGCGTCCTTCGCATCCATTATTAGGGTGGTGCAACGACCGTAAGGAGACTGAAGGGTATGGTTTTCATGGTTTTCTGGACAGGGCATAGAAATCAGACAGTTTTTGTCTAGAATAGGGTAAAATTTACCGGAAAAGTGGCCAGTGTATAAATAGTCTGCTGGAGAACAGGGTTCTTTACCCGGGATAAAATCAATTGAAAGGCTGACCGGACGGCTGAAAAAGGTAAATTTAATGCCCAATATTTATATTATTCTTTACCCGGGGTTCTATAATAGAAATTGAAACTCGGAGGTGACTATTGATATTGATTTACTTAACGTATGTTGGACTATGATAGCGATAAATTTTCTGCATGGAAAATGGCTAGTCTGCGATAGGGTAGGGGTTTTAGGTGCCTAATCTACAACAGGGTTGCAAAATAAAGCTGATCATGGTGTGGTATACAGCCTGCGAACAGGCTCCCGGTGAGGATGGAAAAAAAAAAAAATTGGCGATCGAACTAGCCGACGAGCACGAAACTGAAAAATTCGGGGAGCGAAGCAATCAGGGTGCTTACCGAGAGCCTGTTCGCAGGCTATGTATATGTAGTATCGGGTAAGGGTTTAAGCATCAAACACTCCTACCTAACGATTTACAGACTACCCTCTCTCCCCTCCCCCCTCTTCAGAGGAGAGTAGAAGAAAATTTTGGTTCATTCGGTCTGATCGACTGAGAAGCATCCAAACGGGGACCCCGTTGTTCCAGAAGATGAATACTATCTAAAATTCGTCTTGTTTTTATTTCGCAACTGATTCAAATGTTCGGTGACTGCAGGAGCCATAATCGGGGACGGAGACCGTAAGTCTCGGGATTCGCGCGCGCCTATGATATGGGACAATTGGTGACTGCTGAGTTTATTTCGAATCCACTGCAAACGCCAAGATTCTTTTTCAAGGTTGCACCATTATTTTTTGAGGGGAGCGGGGGGGAGGGGAGCGGGGGGGGATGAGCAATTTTCTGGGTCATTTGTTTTCTCTCCTTTAGGTTGTGCATGGATTTTTTTTTCGGTGGGCAATAGCTTGTGCAAGACTCTTTTTTTACAGTCAAACGTAGGACCTGCATAGTACATGGCACTTGGACATAGCACTTGCTCGCTATTTTTTTCTCCATGGCTCCTCTTGCACAATCCGTCCCTTACATGCATTCCGCTTTTGGATATGACAGACAGCACGTCTTGGAGTTACATGTACATGTTGAACTTCGAACTTGCAATCCTAGGGAAAACATTACAAATACTGAACTTAATTATTATTATTATTGGTCCGGACCATCACCTCTAAATAGACTATGAGCCCCCCTCCCCGTCCCGCCCCCGAAGGGGGAGGTAATCCCTTTAATGGCAAAGCCCGAAAGGTGTCCTTATTTCAGGCTGGAGATTTATAAAAGGGAAGGGTTTTCACAAATTGAAGTACAAGAATGAGTTAGGAAGACTGCCAATTAGGTAATTAAAAGGGCCTTTCCGAGTATGTATCTCCTACAGGATAAGGGTGAGTGCTTAGAACTCGTGGGGGGGGGGGGGGG